CACCAGGTAGGTTACCACGGCGAGCGATGTTTGCCGAGGCAGGTACGGTTGGAACAGGATCGAGGGTGGTCAAACTAAGACCTGGTATGAGGGTATGAAAATCCTATCCAGGAGACTAGGTCAAATAGGCCCCGCTAGACTCCCTGGCTGGGGACCTCGGGATGATGGTTACCGATGGTTTATTACACAGTGATATGACTGGATGTCGTAAACAGTGGCGCTGGTGCATCCACTGATTATTCCCCTATTACCATTCTATATGAATTCTCCATCTTCCACTTGAATTTGCTTTCACTATTCCAATCTTGTTTCTGCTCGTTCATCCAAATGGTACACCAAAAGACAGCAACCAAAACCAGCGCACGAAAGTGCGTGGTTAATGGTTGTAAAAACTGAAACTGTTTGAGGGATTAGCGCGCTGTCATATGTGGCAACGGAAGGGACGTTTCTGCGGGCGTAAAGCCGGGCAGCCGAGATCCATCGTTTGTGTTTGGATCTTGCGGCAGAGTCCGACGTTGTTTTTTTCGATATATGCATAACATCCTTGATTTGCTTACAGTGTTCATTGAGTCCTTCGTTTGGTGATTGAGCTGATAGGCGATCGGAGAGTTCCGCTTCGAATGCCGATTTGCAACAATCACCGACATTATCTCGTGGGTATCCGCTGTCGGTGGCTTTTTTACAGTTTGCCAAACGTAGGGAGCATTTGGTTCGTAGCAAAGCATGGTTCGTATCTACAGGTGTGGACCAGGGAGAACGGCAGTCTTGATTCGACCCTCTGTAGCAGTGAGGAGATTGGCGGTTTCCATGTAAGACGGTGTCGTTTCTTGTGCGAGAAGTTCTTGTTTGACAGGAGCAATCCGTGGTCCGCACAGAGTTGTAGTAGGCGATCTCCTTTGTCCGTCTGGTTGGCAGGGATTGCATGCGGTCCGCCGAGAAGCCTTTCTGATTTGTCCAGGGATCCCACTTGAGCATTGAAGTCTCCGGCGACTACTATAATGTCCGTTGATCGAACACTTCAGAGTCATTTTGAGTTTCACGGACAATTCGAAAAAGGATGTGTGCTGAGTCATGAGGTGTGATCGGATTAGCGCCAATAAGTTGAAGACTGATCCTTTAACAATGGCATTTTACATGTTTAGAGCTGTTTTACTTTAAGAACGTAGTAGCAACATGTTAAGGAGAAATCGATGAGTCATTCATCTTGTTCGTGGGATGAGAACGGTTTATAACCCGAATTTTTCTAATCGTTATTAACTTTGAAATACCGCAAGAGAGTAAGTAATTAATGCTGCCTGTTTAATTCTACTATGGAAATATTGTTGTTTCTATTACTCCCATTGTTTTTGTACGTTTCAGGAAGTGATGTAGTACAATGGCTCATTCAACACGTTGGTGCCAGTGATGTTGCTGAAGCAGTTAACCTGGCCAGTCGTATCGCATCCATGGGTTATCTCTTCTGTATTGATGATCATGTTTTGACCGTGAAAAATGATAGCCACACATACTATCGCTTTCAAACTCCGTTTCTCTACCCAAGTCGATGCATGGAGGCAGATACGGTAGATTATGCCGTATATTTGTGCAAGCGGACTATGCAAAATAAGCAGCGACTCGAATTGGCTGGTTTCGAAGCTGAAAGACTGGCCAGTTTGCAAACTCTTTACTGTCATAAGTGGGAATTCGTTTATATTCAAGTGAGTTAAATTTCGTGTACAGTGCTTAACAAATGCATAATGTTCATTTTAATGGATCGACAATTTCAGTTTCTACCATCAACTTTGCAATCCCGTTGGATAGCTTTGTCTGTTATCCGTTTAATCAACCAATTAGGGAGGCGCATGTGCTCGGTCAAGATAAAAATACAAAAGGCATGCTGTGTAGATCTTATTAGAAAGTGAGTGGGTGCACGAGCTGTGTCGCCCAACTACTCTGTTCGTTGGTTAGGCTGGTCCTCAGATTCTCAACCAAGGAGCCTTATGGACTCTATATGACCGAGTCCCCTGGTGAGGATTTTCACGCCCTCACCGTTGGTTTTGCAACTCTTGTCTACCAAGTGAGTCTATCCGGTGATACACGTGATACCAACAGCCATCGCAACCCTTGGATACCGAGCATTCGCAATAAATTGCGACCACGATGATACGGATTTCCGCATGTAACCTCCGCACTGTTTATCCGGTTGTCACACTAGGCTTGTGCAATGCAGTGTAGACACCAATGTACGAACACCGAGCATTGTGGTGGTGGTAAGAGTGTTTTAAGTTGGCAAACAATCTATGCTTGCTGGGACATCATCCGTGATTCCATCTCCAGCAGAGCTGTGTTGATGCAAGGCTTTAGTTTTTACAACCACTAACCATAAACATTCGAACTTCGGTTTTGGTTGCTATCTTTAAGTTACTCATTTGGATAAAAGAGCAGAAAAAAGATTGGAATGTGGAGAACGGAATCAAAGAGAAGATAGATAATTCATATAGACTGTGATTACAAGGATAATGAGCAGCTGTACGAGCAACACTGTTTGCGAATCAACTATACCACTCAATGTCTCTAACCACCGGTTTCTATCCAAAAAAGCCGAACGCGATTGTGTGCCGCTGCAGTTCGACCAACTACCATACGACCCAAAGATTTGGCTGTTATAAAAACAAGATAGACCCTCGGTGTCCGAACCCTGCTGCAACGCCTCACTGCATGCCTCTGGTGAGGCAACCGTACAGGCAATGCTGAGGGTAAACGCGGAGTTTTAGGTAATCGCAGTCGTCTACTGGAGGAAGTAGTCGACCTCCATAGATTACGTTGGTTGGTGTGTGTAGATAGTCACGCGTTGTTTTTCGAGGTAGGCCACTGGTGGTCAAATTAAGACCTTGCGTGAGAGTATAAAACCCCTTGCTCATATAGGTTGCATTCGACTTCCCGGATGAAGACACTGGAATCGGCGTAATTAATGGTTCGGGACCCTGAGCAATATGGCTGGGTGTTGTCAACACTGATGCTCCTACATCTACTCAATGTCCTTGCAACCTTAGTCTCTATGAGTTCTCTGTTTTCACCGTGATACTGATTTGGGTACTCTAATCTTCCTTTTACTACCTCAATGTATTGTGGGGCAGATTCTTTAACCGAATGCTCGGGTTAGGGTCTCCCAAGAAAACCATCTACTTCGGTCTGGGTAACCGGGTAGTACCACGCCCACAGTTTAACCATAAACTTATGCATTGGTACATGTGTCAGGCTCACACTTGTAGAACTCCGCAAAATTTGCAAGCTACACGTCCACTTGTCCCCCACACACCCCCATTTTTTCACTGTTTGTTCTATCTCGGATAGTTCCACTGACTTGGGTTCATGCTGCAGCTCTCCGCTATCCCCCTGGACATCTGTCTCAGCAGTGCTGTGTCACTCGAAATCAGCCGTTCCAACTGCGCGTTTCCGGGAACCCTGTCACATCAGCGTCTGACCAAGGAGGCGTTGGTATTGCCTTAAGCGCCAGGGTCGAGGCTGGTATATTGGACTGGATCCCGGTAGGTAGATGACTAAGCGCAGTGAAACTCCGAAGTTTAAGGAAATTCAAAAAGCAGAAACCAAACGAACGGTGCTTATTCGTTGTTTATGCATACGCTCCCACAAACTTCAGGCCGGAGACAGTCAAGGATGCCTTTTATCACCGCCTGTATCCGATTCTCAAAGCACCTAAGACAGATATCGTGATTCTGACCGGAGCTCTAAACGCACGCGTCGGCCGATGAGACCCACCTTGGTGGCCATTATAGCCTTGACCGCTGTCGTTCAGATAATGGGGATAAACTTCTTGGCATGTGCTCAGAACACAGTCTGTTCCTCGTTAGCTCGAACTTAGGGCACTTAAAGCCTCACTCCGCCGCGTGGCGTAACCCGTCGGCACAGATGTGGACTCGGATTGATCATATGGCTGTTAGCTATAGATGGAGCTGTGTGAAAGACTACCATTCGTATTGATCTACCTGCTTGCACTTTGACCACGTACTGGTTTGTGCCAATTCGCCTATGCCATTTGATGGCCGCGAGAAGACGGGATGCAAACAGCTAAGCGTTGCCAAGCTTTCTGACCCGGCCCCGCTAGCCGAATATCAAAACGAGTTGACCGCAAAGCTAACTATTACCCTACCAAGCAGCGTAGATCAACACTGGACAACCATTCAAAACGCAATGCACTCAGCTAGTATACGCAGTTGTGGTCTGACTCCTTGAGTTGTAAAACACTGGGTTTGCTCCAACTCTCAAACATCTTGATGCGCGTCGGTTAGTCTTGTAAGACTGTGTATGGTGAACAGCACCTCTCTCTGAAGCGTGAACTCACAACGCGTTTGAGAAACTCCCGATAAATCTGGTGGACGCCACGTGCATCATCATCATCGTACAGCGAAATACAGGGAAGCGAACTTCACTGATCGCTTCCAAACTCGCAATACATATGCTTTGGGGATGCAATCAGAAACTGGGTGTGGAAACACCCGACAGCTGTTCCAGCTCATCCATGCTACGGGCCCCAAAAGAAAGTGCGTTGGTGAAACAATCTGCGAAGTAGACGGTACGCTGACATACCGACGCTTGGAACGCTGGGTAGAGCAGTTCACATCACAGTTCATTCAGCCCCCCCCCCCCNCCCCCATACTGGCTGCCTCAAGTAGTATTCTTTAGGGTGCACCCTGGTCACTATCGGCGGAACCGCCCACAGAAGCGGAGATCCGGAAACAAAACCGAGCCCTGAAACGCCATAAAACAGCTAGAGCAGACGAACTGCCACCTGTCCTCCTTAACTATGGTGGAAAAGCTCTCATGGGAGAGCTTTTTAGACTGTTCTTAAAGATCTGGGAAACTGAAAGTGTACCCCACACATGGCGAGAATAGATTGTTACATCTGTCTGCAAGAAGAGCTGACACGGCTCCTGTTACAACCACAGGGCACAAATCAAACTCCAATAGCGCCGAAGCTACTAGCAGACGAAAGCCATTTCACGAAAGAAATCCGCGAAGAGCAGAACCGGTTTCACGCACGCCGTGGTAGCATAAATCAAATCTTCACTCTTCGTCGACTACTAGAATACCGCCACACTTAGAGGAGACCAACTAATGTCGTGTTTTTGGAAATCAGAGCAACCTTTAACCCTATCGATCCCCCCGCTGAAATACGGACTATCTGACAAGTATGTCCTGCTTCTAAAAGCACTCTACCACCAGATCTCGGGGAAGGTTATGGCCTATGATAAACTTACCCTCATTTCCTGTCATCATTGGAGTGCCACAGGGTTGTTCCATCTCTCCATATCTCTGCAACTTTGCCATAAATTACATTTTGCAAAAAAGCGTTACTTAACCTAAGGAATGCTGATGTGAAGCTTCTTGTTGTAGACAGGGTGGTTGACTTAGAGTATGCTGATGATATTGCATTACTCAGTGACAACTCACCGACGATTCAAGAGTAGCTGAATCGTTTGCCAATTGAGGTTACTCGCTATGATATGTCCTTTGCATCTTAAAAGTGCAAGGTGTTGTAAGGTTGGCAGAAACCCGTTCCCGCATTTTCGTTGTCTACCTCGGGAGTTGCATAACGCCTGGTGGAGGTGTGGGTGAGATCTCTCAACGCGTAATGAAACCTAGGTTAGTGCTCGCTAACCTTAAGCATCTCTGGCGTCGGCTTGACATATTCCTTTCACTGGAAGGGTCTGTGCATTGCGCAGTGGTACGCACCGTGTTGTTCTATGGCTGCGAGACCTGGCCTCTCCGAGCAGATCACGTCCAACGACTGTCCGTATTCCACAACCGTTGTCGGCGCAACATCGCCCGCGTACAATGGTGCATCCCGTGAATGAAAGTGAGATCAGACGACCTGTGTTAGGGTCAGATTGTTTTCGATTGAGCAGAACCATTTCACTGCATCGTCTTAGGTGACTGAGGCATGTCTTACGAATACATGAACAACGTCTGCCATGCCGTGCGCTACTTGCAGATATTGGTCAGGGCTGGGAGAAACAGCGAGGCGGGCAAGTTATGACATGGAGTAGAGGGTTGAAGAGATTGTGCTCTCCCAAAAGTAAAACAATCCAAAAAGGTCAAATTAGCGCGGAGTAAACAGGGGGTAAGTTGTTATACCCAAAGTTGACTGTTTATGTTTTCCTTTTTTTCTGACTCAATATTTCGCATTCAACCATAGTTATTTTAGCCCTGTATTGGTTAAGATTGATGATAGGTATACATGTCTTCTCGTTATTCTTTGATGCGAATGGGCAGTCATAAAACAACAGCCAAAGCGGCGCACGGAAGTGCATGTTTATTGGTTTTTAAAACTGAGTGTTAATGACGTTTGAATGCACTAAATGAAGTGCTGTAAACAGATGAATAGTGCCTCACTAAATGTTGAGAGTTTTGCATTGCCGTTGCGTGTTTTTCGATTCTTATCATTTTTACTTTTATTGAATATACAGTTTTCAGGAGGGAGGAAGTGGTCAATCAAAGAGCTGCCATACAACACATGGTGAAGGCCGGTAGTAGTTTGAATGGGAAAACAAAAAGATTAAACGAAATGTCAACATCTCACAAAGTGTCTTCCGGTTTTGATGTCAAAATCAGTTACCCTTAACTCAGAGTTAAAGGTTATTTATGGCTATTAAGGGTCTTAATTTCGTTCAATGAGCCATTACGGGATGTGTTTGTTAGCACACCGCTAGATTCTTATTTGTTATTCATACTTTCCGATTCGTTATCTTTTTCTATCTTTTCTTCGTCTTCAGGCGGAGGCAGAAGCCAAAGTGGATAAAAAGCGAGACAAGTTGGAACGTTTGGTATTGGATTCACAGGAGCGCGCTTATTGGGATGTGCATCGGCCTCCACCAGGTTGTGTGAATACCACAGATGTAGATATGCGCAAGTTATGTCGGGCCAAACGTCCGAAAAAGACTCCGTGTCGACCTATCCACTTCCCGATCCCCAGCGGTCCAGGTGAGGTTTGTGAAAATGTGGAGTGTCGTTCTGTCAGTGAAATGTCTGACTGGCTTTGTCCCTCCATTAATTTTGTCACTGTTGTGTCTTGGTCTCATTTTTGTCCAATTTCGCTCGGCCTAAATTGCTCTCGAAACATTTATCAGCCGGCGGACGGTTACCCTCCTTGTACTGTGACGGCACCAAAAGGTCGAAAATTTCTACGTAGTTGAGCGTAATCTCTTGTGGTAATCAGACAAGCCGGTTCAATAAGTGATGCATCAAGTGAAAAATATATTTCTGCTATTTAGACTGTGAATGTTTGGATAAGCTCGTTCGTTTTTTTCACTGGCACTATTGATGATCTTGGGGGTAGGTTTCAGCGGTGCCCGATGCCTGTAAAATAACCGAATGGGTTTATCCAAACATTCACCACCTAAATAAAATGAGCCATTCGCA